AGCCAACTCCATTTGCAACGGTTGCCATCGCACGTAGCTGCCTGCCCCATCGAGTCGCGGCGTAGCAACGTGTTGGGTTTGATTTCGTTTTGGATTCGGGATCGTTGGKTGGTCAGTTGGCTGCTGAAGAGCGCAACTCTGACTTTTTGTGGCGTTTTTTTTATGAATGCTGGCTGACTTCGGCTTTTTTAGGAATGTTTTTTGTTTTCGTTTTTAATATCAGAGGCCAAATGGCGAGGCGCGGCACCCGGCAATGCTCTCCAACCAGTTGGCCGGCCGTCATTTCATTCGCTTGTGCGCACTTTATGGACATGAATCTGAGCTTAACAGCGTGCTGCAAGTTGCTGCTGTGCGGTTTATGTGTCACTTTTTTGGGCAAATGGAAATCCATTCTTATCGTACGCTAAGAATTTCCATGTCAAATACGTTGAAGGTTAAGCGCGAGCGTTCCTGGTTGCGTGGCACGTGCGTAACCTAAGTCACATTATCAGATCATGGTCGTTTGGCAATTTATTTCATACGGGAAAGTCATCCACAGCTACAGCAGAGTTTCTGCGGCGAATCGCCGCACAGTTGTAAACCAACTGGCCCCAAATATTAAGGCGGCACAAAGTGTTGCAAGCAAACCAGCCCAAAGACTGGTTTGAAGCGTGTCAAATTGCCTCAAGTTGTATGCCAGCTGCTGCGGCTGCTGTTGCTGCGGCTGTGGCTGTGGCTGTGGCTGCTGCTTCAGTTTGTTGGCCGTCTGGAACTGGGCCACAAAATGCAATATTAATATCAATATCACTAGTGGCAGGCCAACCCACGCGCTTGACGGGCCACTGCACCCAAATCGCATCCTAGACAAATTGCCATCTAATGCGCGCACACAACTGCCCAATCAATCATTTTTGAACAATATTCGTAATTTGATTTCAGTGCACCCGGAGTCGCGACAGTTGGTTGGCCCTTGGCGCAGCAGTCAATTAACTTGCAGCGACCCGTCCCGTCCTGTGACAATTGCCATAACCACATACCAAGTCGAAACAGTATTCCTCCTCCAGTGGAGTGCCGCGGCCCCTCCCCTCTCGTCTAGCAACGCCTTAATAATAAGTTAGTCAACTTTTTGTGCCGTCCGCGTCCATAATTTTCGTAATTTCATGTTAGGGCGGCCACCGTTGATTGAATTGAATTATCTGCTACTCAGCGCGTACAACTGAATCAAATCAAATCAAATCCAAATCCAAATAGAAACTGCATACAAGTGCAGTGCAGCGACTGCAAGTGCTTTTTTATGGGTGGCAGTTCAAGTTGCGATCGTAGTTAGCAACGCTTTTTATCTGTGGCAATAATTGAAGGCAATTAAATTCATAAATTTTAATGATTTATTTAAACTTTGCACGCTTAGCACATTGAATTAATTCTTAAGATAACTACAGGGTGTTTCCCCTGGCTATTTGAACTAATTTATTGTAGCTGACTTTCAAAAGACGAATTTACTTATGTACAGAAGGAAATTATTTTTAATTAGCTATAAAATAAATAGCTTTATAAATAAATAAAAAATAATACAATCTTCTATAGTTTCTGATTATATACTAATTTAAAATTCTTTTAGTATTGCAACCAAAAAAAAAAAAAAAAAAAAAAATTAAAGTTACTTTAAGATATAAAGTTAATTTTTAGAGAGTTTTTATAAATTATTTATTTACTAACCAAAATACAGGGTGTCCATCTGTCTCATAGTTTCTACACAGCCAATATAAGAGTAATTTTATATTCAGCAATTAGCGAAAGATAATTAACAGCAAATATTTGAAGCAAGAGCTTGAGTAAGAACAAATAGCATTAGACATATGAAGGTAATCAAATAATTGATACACCCATACACACATAGCCCGAGTGCGAAATCACACCCCACGGTGCGAGTCAATTGCGTCCGTCTGACCCAGAGTCCGCCATGGAGTGTCGGCTGTGCTTCAATGCACCTCGGCGAGCAAAGCGGAGCAGCAGTTGCATTAATGACTTCCAAATAACCAACCAAAACTTGGACGAGTGCAAGAATTTCAATGCCAGCTGCTGCTCAGTGATGCGTGACGGTTCCTGAGTGGTCTACTCTGATTTCCCAGGCCACATTGAATTGGCTTGGAGCTGCGTTGGTTGTTGCCACGTGGTCTGCCAGCTTTGTAGTGTGGCGCACCATTTTATTGTCTTCGCTGGCCGTATATGAATATTAATTGCTTTTAATTGGAGCGAGCCAAGTGTTGCTGTTCTCTTATTCATTTGCCTAATGGCCCAGCAGATCAGTAATTGGCCAAGCCGAGCAGCTGGCCAACTGGTCATGTCAAAGTTGCACTCACAATGTGGTAGAATTCGCCATAATTATGTTGTTTACAGCTAGTGCAATTAATTAAACATGATTTTGCTTATGAATATGGATAATCGAGCAACACGATAAACTGACTGCACATAACACCTGAATGTCTGAAAAATATACATATATCCGAAATAAACAATTACTTCTGATAGCTACAAATCTGGACAAGAATAATTAAAGAGACGCTGCCAATTGGCCAGGCATTTGGCTGGCAATTTACTGCCGCATTTTCTGTCTTGTACTCCCCATTCCCCATGTTGAATGCCAGAATTTGCATATATGCTGATAAATAAGAACAGTCACCGTACGCCCACATACGTCTTATGATTGTTGTTGTAGGCCAGCTGATTTCGCGTTGTATGCGATTGTCTTGAGTTGTCGAGTAATGGTAGGGCATAGAGGTGCTAAGCTAGTATATTTAATTATAGATTAGAGTTAAGCTTAAGTGCTAAAACTATTAAATTCAAGTGAAATAGGCGTATACTTAATAAGTTTTGTATAGGTTACATGAGGTGTAATATTAGTTTACTGTGAAATGCCAGAAAAAATAAAGCATAAATGAAGCTATTAAATAGATCATTTTAGAAACGTATCTTTGTCATAAAAATGAGGTATTAATGAAAGGATTTATAGAATTATAAATACAAATATCTAATTATTGCATGCGATTGCGAAGCATCGTAAATCAGGAATTTATTGCCAGCGTTTTCCACTTGATTTACCCAGTTGCATATTCCCCAAGCGCATTAATCAAACTAATTATAGTTTGTAATACTCTGCAAAGTGTCATTTTAAATACAAGAATTTCATATAATTAGTTGATTAGCACTTTTATGCATGCCTGTGTGTATCATATGCCCCGGCGTTTTGCATGTAGCGCACCCATATAAAATGATAATTATAGCTCACAAATTGCAGGAGAGGTGGGCATGCACAAATCTGTAGATTGCACTTGAGTAGCTCAGCCCACATGTCGGCAAAGACAACAACAAAATATATTTGCAAAAAAAAAAAAAAAAAAAATAAAATAAAAAAAAAAGAAACTTATACAAAATGAAAATGAAAACGAAGGTGACAACGGGAATATAATTTATAATGTTGCGCATGCCACAAAAATGTCAAAACACACCCGCCACGCCCCCAAGCAGCACACACTCACATACACACACACACATGCAGTTGTGGGTGCTGTAGGGGGAGTTCAAGAGAGCAAGTTGCATTTGGTTTATTTAAATGAAGCTGGCGCTGACGTTGCAGTTGAGACAAGCTAAATTGAGTTGCGGCTTTGTGTGCCACATGCAACACACACGCTGCAGCAATGGCTGGCGCCACTCGAATGCAAATAATCGAACTCTCAATGCGCATTCGTTATTAAATGTGTTTCTTGTGTGCTGTAAGTTAGCCAGGTAAAACAATAAAAGAATAACAACAAATCAACAGCATATCAACAACAACAACARCAGTTGCTGCAAAGTGTGGCAAATGCAACATCAAGATTGAACTCCAAAGAAATGCTGCAACATGTGGCAACAACAGCAATACTCTGTTTTATGTCTTTTGTTTTGTACGCTATGCTTTTGTTTTTAATTTGCAAACTTTTCGTTTCAGTCCGTTTTCGATGCAGTTCAATGATTAAAGAGGCAAAACGCCCAGAAATTGGCTTACAATTTGTGTTTTTTTTTTTTTTTCAACTTTTTAAAAATATTTTTTTGTTCGTCGAATTTCGGTTGTGCCCCGTGGCATGTTGCAAGCCATGGCAACTGCAACTCCCTAAGCACCGCACTAGCATAGCGAATTCATAAGAATTTTTTAATTTGCTGCCCATGCTTAGGCATGGGCCCCTTGTTACCGGCTGATGTGAGCGCTTGCGGGCGTGGTCTCTGGGCATTTTTCTCTTTTTGGAAAGGCACGCGCCGATAAGATCGAACATAAAGTGTATATGCCGAATAATGAGTACTAATTGTTCAATCCACGGAAGTTCAAATGCCCACACATTCGCATTCACCAACGCGCTCACAAAACGGCCAAAAACAAAAAAAGTCGTAAAAAACCCGCCAAGATAGCAATTAAAATTCTTATCCGACGTGGCCATAACGTTTGAGCCGATCGAAAGCAAGGTCAGGGCAGCATTTGCAGTGACAAACGCAACGCAAAATGCAGCAGCCTTAGCTACAGACGTATGTGCATATGCGTACCATATAGTATATATTTTTATAGCCATTTCTAGCTATAAACCCGCTGGCAGCAAGTATGGACAACATTCATGGCTCGATTCTGCAGCGGTTGCGACTGCCGCTTCGGCTTCGGCTTCCACTTCGGCTTTTGGCTAAAACCCGCTTCGAGCCGCGATTAACGTTGTAATTCGATTACTTTTGTGCCACATTGTTCTGCTATTGCTCTTATTGTATTTACTGTTATTGTGGCATGGTGTGTGTGTGTGTGTGAATTGCTCTGGTTATTACTTTTGCTTTTGTCTTTGTCTTTGTCTTTGCGCAGTCGCCGGCTTCTCAGCCGACGCCGTCTCTGGTGGTATATATTAGAGCCGTCAGCCAACAGTCAGCACAGTTCGTTAACAGTCCTAGTCGAGATTCTAGGAGGTTCAACCAGCGTCCAGCGACCAGCGACCAGTGACTGTGCCGTGTCGTGTGTGTTACTTCCCAGCTAACCCTACTCCTGTGAACGGCCAACCACCGTTTCTTTTTAACCCAACTCAACTTGTGATTTACGCTTTGTAAACAAAAATGAAGCCATTTGTAAGTAAACAAACTCATATTTTACAAAATATGCTAAAAAGGATAATTACCGACAAGTTAAGTGCTAGACACAATAAATAATCAAACCAAGTTTTGAAATGTCTTATAAAATATTGTAAGTTATGAATGGATCAATTGCGGAAGTAAATGACTTAATTTATAACAACAGCAAAAAAAAAAAAAAAAAAAAAAAAAAGTCAAGAAAAAACAAACATGCTCTTGCATGTATTGATAATAAATTAATCAATTCATTGTGTTACAATTTCATGGCTTCCTCATTGCATAAATGTTTTCGTTGAAACAGAATCTTAAAAACGGCTTCCCCTAAAGCGTTTCCAATTATACATGGCATATTAAATATTTATTCCAGTTAAGATATTAAATACCTTTGTTATAATTATTTTCTAAGCACTTCCAAGCTACTTAATTGGATAAAACAATATTTTGCTTGAAATTCAATCTGAAAAACGGTTTCTTCTAATCATTTTAAAAACAGTTAAGATATTAACGATATTTTTTATAGTTATTTTCCAAGCAGTTCCATGCTTCTGCAATGGACAAATCGCTGTTTTCTTGGAAATTTAATTTTAAAAACGATTTCTTTTTAAATATTTCAAATAATACATGATATTCATTTATGTGTATTAATTATTTCTTATAAAAATATTTTATTCTATTTGAATAATATTTGCAATATCTGCGACCTTTCATATAGTTATTTTTTAAGCAATCCTGCAGCAAGCTATGGAGCTTACACAACACTCCAGCTGCATGTCCAGTGACACAGAAACCACCCAGAAATCAGAGACCGTTGCCATCAAGCACTACAAATTTTAACTGATAAGCCGTTGACATGTTGCATGTCGGTTAGCCACCGCACCTCTCGCAGCTAGTAGCTCCACAGCTGCTCCACATAATAGCGGCCTCGCATGCGGTAATACTTGGCTACTTGGCTGCTTGGGCACTTGGCTAGCCAAGTAATATCTCAAAGCGAAATCAAATCGAACGTTTCGCTTGATGGAGCTTAATAGTAAGCCAGAGATATATAAGAGAGTGCTGTGTGGATGGGCCGAGCAGACACAGAGGCGGTCGGCCAGATTGCCAGGTTGGCCAGGCGAAAGGCAATCGCCAGAGAAATTGTTTCAAAGACTGACCGACTGACTGACAAGCACAATTATTGCGCTGCCCGGGTGCCGTGAGCTGTTAGGTATCTGCATAAGCTATGGCATAAGCACGGCTAACTCTTAATTATACTCTTTCCCTTGCTCTCTTTATTTCTGTCTTGTGCAGTTGATTGCCGCCGTGCTGCTCATCTCGACAGTGTCCGCCTCCTGGCATGGTGCTGTCTCCACACAGTACCAGCATCTGGACCCTCATAGCCATACCTATTCATACGGCTACGCAGATCCAAACTCACAGAAGCACGAGACCCGCGCTCATGATGGCACCACGCGCGGCTCCTATTCCTATGTCGATGGACACGGACATTTGCAGTCTGTATCGTATACTGCGGATCCACATCATGGCTTCAATGCTGTTGGCACCAATCTGCCACAAGCGCCAGCTGTGCCCCATGTAGCTCCCGTCTATGCCGCTGCCCATTCCGCTTACGTGCCATACGCTCAGCATCCGCATGGCATCCACATCCCGGTGCTCACCCATGGCGGCGTCCCCGTTGACACACCGGAAGTTCAGCACGCCAAGGCTGCCCATGCTGCTGCTCATGCCGCTGCCGCGCACAATGCTGGCCATCATCTGTACAAGCGTTCGATCTATGGCGGTGGCTGGGCCTATGGTGCTGCTCCTGCTCACGTGCCCCTCACCCATGGAGGCGTGCCAATCGATACACCCGACGTGCAGGCTGCTAAGGCTGAACACTATGCTGCCCATGCCAAGGCTCTGGGTCAGGTGGCTCATGCCCATGGTACTCCCGTCGAGACTCCCGAGGTTCAACACGCCAAGGCCGCCCACTTCGCTGCCCACGCTGCCGCTCGTTCCGGTCATGCCATCGCTCCCATTGCCCACGGTGGCTACCATGTGCCTGTGATCCACAACGGAGTGCCCGTCGATACACCCGAAGTGCAGCACGCCAAGGCCGCCCACTTCGCCGCTCTCTCCCAGGCCTCCGCGGCCAGCAGCTCTCACAGCTCCTGGGACGATGGTCGCTATGACGGCCGCTGGGATGCCAGCCACGATAGTCACGCCCAGAGTTACTCCTCCGGCTATGCGCATAAGGGTCCCATCCACATCCCGGTCATCCACAATGGTGTGCCCGTTGAGCCCGCCGAGGTGCAGCATGCCCGTGCCGCGCATCTGAGCGCCTTGGCAGCGGCCAGTCACGGTGCTGCCTCCCACGGTGGCTACTACGGTGGCTCTGCGCACGAGGATGATGGCCAGTACCGTGAGCAGTACAACCACTACTAAGTCGAGGATCTGCCAGAGTCTGCCATTCACCACAACGATAACGACGAGCTCTTCTATATAATCTGCCCGACTCTCTAACGACTACCGAAGGCAGCTGTCTCTTTCACGCCACCTGTCTAACTATCTGCAACTACATATCTACATCCCTGTCATACACACACGCACTCGATCGGAAAAGGACTACACATGGGAGATCTGAGCTGCTGTCTCACTTGCCCGCCAACTCTCCGGATCGCTTCGAGTAGTGCACCTCGTCCTTTTCAACTCTTGAACTCTCAATGATTATTTTCAGCTCTTATACTCTACTTATACTGTTCTTATACTGTATAACTCTTTCTGTCTTCGACCGACATCAGCTTGATGCTCAAACTCTTCTGATTTCCTTTGTCTATAACTCTTCGATTTAACTTTGCTTTGAGCAACTCTGAACCAGAATGTTGTAAATAATTGTTGTAACTTTCAATGAATCTTGTACGAGTTATGTATCTATATATTATATGAAACTGCAAACAGACAAATAAACTGCAAAAATGTATTTGAACACTCAATCGTTTTAATTGGGAACAGCTAAACTTGTAATTAATACTCATTCTATTTCCAATTATTTTTTTAAATGCAACAATTTATTGTAAAATGGCTCGCATTTTCGAAAATATGATTTTCATATAACTCATATTTACTTTTATTGGTCCTAGTTGATTTGGCGAATTTGAATACAAACTTCTGGGGAAACAATCAAACTAAATTGAATAAAATGAAACTCATTCAACTGGAGAGCTCTGGAACTCTTTTAGTTTCTGTTTCGTTCCAAGAATTGCGAACTGTGAATTTCACAGTTTTTTTTTCCTCTCCCTCGGCGGGGCTAGTATTTATCTATCTGAATTGCATTTCACATTTTATAGCATTAGTACGCATTCCATTGAAATTCCATTAGAATGTTCAACAGTGCAAGCCTTGTGACCGGCTTGTATATGTATGTATATGCACATACATATATGTAGGTATATACCCAGCTAAGGATACTAGCTAGAATCGCAAATATGTGAACATTCGAAGATGAATGCAGTGCTTCGAGTGAAATGTGCATATGCCATTGAGCAGGAATGCAAAAGTGTGTGTGGGGCTTGGAGGGGAAGTGTTGGGTCTCCATTGAATGGCATCCAAAGGATTTCAGTGAAAGAGACAAGCAATCAATCAAATGCGGAAAATCGAGCTTGCACTATTTTCACTGCGAATTTTCGCATCATGCATCGCTCCTGCTGTGTGGATTCGCTCCGGGCTGTTTGCGGGTAATTCAGTAACAAATATGAACTAACACAACATGGGCGCTTTTCAATTTGTGTGACTGTTTGGCGTTAGCCTCGGGCTGGAATTAATTTGTACACCTCATGTCGGTGGGCCATAAATTGAAATGCAACCTTTGCACTAATCAATAACCTTGGCGGCTCGACGTCAATTAGAGGGAATGCCCAACGTGGCTAACGACTAATTAAAAATTAACAATCTACGCCGCACACGCAAAGGTCAGAGCACAAGTGACCAACACTGTTCGATTCGCATAAATAACGGAAGGGTCACGGAGCCCCGAAAAGCAACCCGATGCCAACCTGGCCGGCTGAAAAGGCCATTTAACGGGCTTAGGCTGGCTGGGTCGCAAAGGCAATAAAATGGAGCTATTTAATTAGAGGTGCATTTGGCAACAAATCTGTATTTGAGCTCACTCGAGTGACCTTCGCCAGAGACAGGTGTAGTTAAGGATCACGTCTGTGGCTCGATGAAATCTAATTTAATTATGCTCGAGCAAAAACAATAAAGCGCAATTGAAATTATTTAAATTGCGAGCAGCCGCTTAAATGGTCAGCCCAGATAGTGGGGCAGCCACAGCTGTTGCTGTTGTTGCTGTTGTTGCAGGCGTTGCAACGGTAGCATGACCGCAACGTTTGTGCAGCTTGCCACAAGTGTGAGGCGTGGCCCACCCCACGTCAAAAGTGAATGTGCTACATTGTTGATGTTGGTGCCTTTTGCTGTTGCTGTTGTTGTTGTTGTTGCTGCTGCTATTGCTGTTGGCGCAAATCATTTTTGCCAACTTTATTATTGCAATTTTCGGCGTTGATTTGCACAAGTGGCAGCGAGGTGGCTGCTTGCTTCTTGCCACGATTTACCTCATTGTTTCTCTTTCATTTTGTTGTATTTTCGGAATTTTTGAATTTTCATATTTCATAGTATTCGAAGAACTCTGTTGTCGGCGCTTTGCGGCTCATTTGCATGCACCGCCAATTTGGCAACCAGTTGGGCGAGAGCCTCGTTTAATTGGAGGGTCACTTCCAGCCCAGCGACCAATTTGGTAGCACCAGCAACAACAATAACAACAACAACAACAACAGCAGCAACGAGAACCGTTAAGCAAACAAATGCCAGCCAACAATTTGTATAAAATATCACAATTACTAAGCCATTTTCGACAGTTGGTTCTCTCCTATCTGCGCCAAATTGTGTATATCAATACACTATTTTTTCGCATTTTATTTTGTGGTAGGCGTTTACATGCAGCGTTTTGCATATTTTTGTTGAAGCGGTTTTCAGTATTTACTTCAATTTAATTTATGGTTGAGGCCTTAATTTATGGCCTAATTGATTCAATTTGAATATATGTAAATAAACTAAAGTGTTGGAATAAAATCCAAACTATTATAATTACAGTCCAAGCCCCGACTGAAAGTTGCTGGATTGTGCAGCAAACACAAGTTAATTAAAAATCTCCTTAGCCTCTCCACTACAGAGCTGATAGCCCCTAGATCCGTTAGTTTTAATTAAATTCCATTTATTTGTTTTCTCTTTTTGTTTTCAGCTGCGTAAAACAAGTCCGCGAAGCGGTCAGACTCCAGCATATGTTCCTGTATATACTAAATGCTTAATTAGGGTATACGGTTTTTATGCAAATATATTCAGCATATGGAAAAAATGCATATCTAACCTCATAAATATTGCTAATTAGGATGCTAAGCTAAGAGTTAACTCAAACATTTTCATTAACTCTGTCATAACTGATTCATCATAAACTCAGATTGTTAAGTTAAAATAAATAAAATAAGAAGGAGTGTAATGTTAAAGCCAGCTATGTCTTTAATTTAATAATTGATGTATTTAAATAATTGCTTTAAATTGATGTGCTGATACATGATGCTAAGTCAGTTGAATTGCGTTGCATTGGATATCCTGCACAATCAACCTCTCAAAAATTTTGCACTGTTGCGTAATTATCTGAAACAAAAGAGCAAACACGAAAATAACAGAGATACATTACCGCCGAATAACTGGCAGCAGCAACAAATTGAAACAATATGTAGAGATAATGCAACAAAATTTGCTGCTGCAAATACTGGAATCGTTTCGCGCATTTGCACAACAAAGTAAGCAGCGGAAAATGTGAAATGCGATTTCGGATTGCTGATTGCTGCGTGGCAGACGGTTTCTACGGGCTTCCTTTTCACTCCTCTGCCAAATTCTGGTGTGGAAATATGCTCGATGCAGGAGCAGCAACAGCAACAGCAGAAAATTGATTTTGGCTCCTGTTAAACGTGCGTTGCAATAAACTTGCAATTTGTTGCATATGCAGCAGCAGTAGCAGCAGCAGCAGCTGACTGCTGCATGGCAAACAATATGGAAAATATCTAAAATTGTCAATTTGCGGTTGACATTTTATTTAAACTAAATATCGTAACGGCCACTGTCTCTCTCTAACTTTTTTTTTTTTTTTTTTTTTTTGTATATATATATATTTTAAGCGCTGAATCTGTACAATGCAAGTTTAGTACCTTAACAACACAATTCGAATTTTTATATAACACCTAACCTTCTGATGTATTCAGGAGGACTTACAAATATATATTTACAAGTATCCCTAAACGACTTATCTCATATTTTTGGCAAAACCCAAGCGTTTTAATCGCCTTAGTGGTCTCGCAGGAAGCAATCTTCTCGCTAGTCTGCTCCGGTGTCTAGCCAGTCTGTCACTATATCGACTAGTGTGTCTCCCAATCTGTTCCTCCACAGTAAACAGTTTCAGATCTCGATGTAGAGTTGAGCCGCGCACATACCATGGRCAGTTTGTAATTTRCCGCAATACACGATTTTGCAGGACCTGTATGCGTTTATAGTTTGATTTTGCGCATATTCCCCAAATCTGCACACCGTAGAGCCAAATTGGGGCTATACAGTGGACATAAACCGCTCTCTTAGCTCTGAGTGACATGGTGCTGCGTCTGTTGCCTGCTTTTAGGCAGGCGATAAATTTGTTGTTGAAAGCTGCTGTCAAAAGCTTAATGCTATGACACACATTGATGCATAGTAAATAAAGCCAAGAGCAGACACAATGAATGCTTGAACTTTAACATAGTTGTGGGCACACGTGTAGGATAAGCTTATTTATTGCCATTTGCGAAGAGTTTTGAATTACACATAAATTGGTTGGTGTCAGAGAAACAATGTGGGATTGAAAGAGAATGTCAGTGGGAGAGAGAGAGAGAGAGATACAAGACCAAAGTAAATATGAATTTTAATGCGCATTGTTATTTTAGATGTCAAACAGATGCTGCTAGGCTACAAACTTTGTCCAGCTGCTGCAAGAGAGTTTGTAAACTGCGCAGATTTATTGCAAGCACTAAAAGGACCTCCCATTTCGTACTGGGCAAGAGTTTACCACCATGGTGCATATGCAAACAACAGCAGTGGTTGCGTTTTGGGCATTCTCGAATTTTAATATTCGTTTGCTTGATTCTGGCACAATTGACTAGTCCTATGGCTAACAGAGACTTAAACGACTACGTTAAACTTGTTGCTGAAGATACGGGAGTGTTGGTTAGGCCACGGCGCTGCAAGGATACAGGATGTGAGCAATTTTTGTGATAAATTCTGGTCTATCCTACTTACATCAAATTGAGTTCCGGCTGTTGCCAGACGGGGGCCGGAAGTAGAACAGCAGCCGGTGCTGGTTGAGGTGCACCGCCACCGCCACCACCGCCGCCTCCGGCACCATTACGTGCTCCCTTACCGCCTTTGCCACCTTTGCCGCCTTTGGAGCCGTCTGGTCCGTCGGGTCCATCTGCTCCATCCGCACCATCTTCGCCATCCGGCTGTGCACCAGCTGGACTGGGTCCACCAGGCTCTCCATTTTGGCCGCTCTCGCCGGATGTCAATGTACCACCGCCACCGCCGCCACCTCCAGCGCCGCCACCACCGGCGCTGCCAGCGCCACCAGAACCGCCGGTGCCTCCAGCACCGCCTAAAATGCCACCAGCTTGTCCTGCCTGTCCTGCGCCGCCACCACCGCCACCACCAGCACCACCAGCACCACCAGCACCACCCTCGTCACCAGCCGCAGCACCGGCCGTAGCAGCCGCAGCAGCATCTGCCTCACTTGAACCAGCTTCATCAGCAGCATTAGCAGCCGCAGAGGAAGCCTCTCCAATCGCATCGCCACTGCCCGTGGAGGACTCCACATATTCGCCCTCCAGGCCGGGCTGCGGCTTCCACAGTCCATCA